GGGCCTGCCGGCAGCGCCGGTCCCCGGCACAGCACGACCTCATTCTGGGAGCACCGTGGGGACTTGGGTGACCCGATCTCTGCTCCTTCCCCCCGGCAGCCTGCGGGAGAGCCCCGCAGGCTCCCGAGCCCCCGGGGACGGCCGAGAAGATGCTCTCGGAGCCAGCGCGGGGAGGGAAAGGCGTCTAGGAAAGACACCTTGAGACAAAGCTGATAGAGGAACAGTGGCAAACGGCGTCAGCTCATCCCGAGGGGAAGCGTCCCCGTCTCCCGAGCTCGGCTGAAGGACGCATTCCCCGCACACGCAGCCGCCCCGCACCGAGCGGCCCCGGCTCGGCCTGGCAACCCGCCCGCAGCCACCGCGGCAGCAACAGCACCTAGAGATCCGACAGCAAATCCGCATCGCCTCCGCATTCCCCGACTCAATTCCCGGTTTATTTTGTCAGGATTAATTGGAGCAAATAGACGGTTCCTCTCCCCATGCCGCACTACCGGGGGCCCGAGCAGTTCCTTAAAATTAAGTTTTACAAGTTCCCAGCGTTATTCACATTCTCCAGCGTATCCTGGCCCGTGATTAAGCCTCATATTTGCATGTTAATTTTCTGTCCTTGGCTCATTTAAGAAAAAAACGTTCACAGGAGAAAAATCTATTTTAAAATAGGTTCAGGGAAATCAGGCTAGGATGCCTCTCCTCGGGGCTCGTTTGCAAGATTTAAAAATAAAAATAAGGGAACAATACTTTTAAAATAAAGCAGCAAGGACCAGTGCATGGCAGGGAAACAAAAGGAGAGGGCTGGGAGGAGCGGGTCCGTCCCGAAGGGGGAATGCGGGGCCAGGCTGCCCGGTCCGACGGGGCCTCCCCGGGGACCGCTGGGCACAGAGAGAGGGGCAGAGGGCTGGGGGAGGGGGGACACGACACACGGTTTTTACCTGCACTCTGGACTCCACCAAGTCCAGCCTGAGAGCCAGAGCCTCTCGCATAAACACGTCCGGGTAATGACTTTCATTAAACGCCTTTTCCAGCTCCTCGAGCTGCCAGCCAGTAAAATTGGTGCGAGTTCGTCTTCTTTTACAGCCAGGACTTTCTTTGTCCGGGTCACCCGAGTCTGAAAAGGCAGAAACACCCTTAGCTCCCTGGAACACAGGCCTTCTCCCCCCCTCCCTGCCATTCACAGGAGCCTTTTAACTTTTGTGCTCGGCAGCTTTGGTAAAAGAGCGGGATTATACACACACCTGCGCTAAAAATGGGGAGGAACCCGATCTGCCCTCGCCTCCTCCGAAAATGTACTTTACAGAACATTTATTCCTGAAGGAAGCTCTCCACAGGCACTCAGCTGGCAGAGAGAGAGAGAGAAGTTCCAATACTTGGTCCAGCCACCAAAGGTTTCATGAAAAAAAATAATTAAACTCCCCCCCCAGCCCCCCCATTTCCCTGCCCCAGCCTTCCCCCCGGAGCAGCTGCCCGGGCCGCAGCTCATGGCCCGGTCCCACCGAGGGCAGAGCGGCCCCCGGGCCTCCTGCAGACCCCTGGGCACGGGTGAGCAAAGGCCTGGGGTGTTTGCAGCTTCTCCGAGAACGTGAAGCTCCAGGTTGGATTTACCTCCTAACGCTTTCCGCCAGGTGTGGGTATTGATCGCTTTTTATTTAGATTTTTTTTGGGGGTCGTTTTTGTTTAGTTGAGGTGCAGAGGAGGAATATTGCAGGATAATTAAAGAGGATGTTGGGGCGACGGAGTGTTTTAATTGCTGAACAATAGCGGTGCCACAGGCCGGTGGGGAGGAGAGAGCGCTTCCCTTCCGTTAAATCGTTTTAAAAACATAATTACCGTTCTTAATTCCCCGAACTCCAGCGATTCCCGTATTTATATAGATATATTTGTAATTATATGCTCCGAGCCCCCACCCTAAAGATGAACTTTGGGGGAAGGCGCGGGGCCCGACCGGCTATTGTTCAGGACACACGCGTGGCCCCCACGCCGGTGGGAACGGGGGATGCTCCTGGAGCTCTGCCCAGGGCCCCCCGCCTCATCCTGTCCGCCCCCCACCC